GTATTACACTTGGAAATTCTGTGAATTAATCTCGTGAGATTATCGTTTGGTCTCAGCAGAAAGAAGATGGCCAAATTCATTTCTTGCTTATACAACAAAGTCACCAATAAAAAAGCGATCCTTTTGTTGTTGTTGTTGTTGTGCAAAGGAAACTTGGCGCTTGCGAAGAAGATAAAAATGAGGCAAAGGGAAGTAGCAGAAGCAGCATTATGTTCAAGATTGCGGTTATCAGTTTCGTCCAGGAGGAACAACTGGCCTCCTGGGAGAATCCATTACACGCTCTTATACACACCGCAGCAGAACTTCCTCGAACGACAGATTAATACATGGATATTACATCCGATAAGAATGTACACAGGATTTGTCCGAACGATATCCGCAGTCCAAAATTAAATTTGGACATGAGGCTGCGTTGAGAAATCAAAAGTTAGATTTAACTGGGATGTTTCAAGCAGCAGAGCCAAGCCATGAATATTAATGATTCGTAATAATTTTGCTTTCAGTCTCAACGTTAAAAAAGAATCGAGCAAACAGAACGATCGATTTGGGGGTTCAACTACCCCATCAGTATCAATCTTGACTTTTTACTTTATTTCTTTCGAGGGATACTTCCGCCCTTTGTATGAGTCGGAATGGGTAAAGTTTGTGAGACAATCGAAGATCGTTTTGAATCCGGACGATATTTATGGTCCTCCTCGGAAGAGCGAAATGAGAATTCGAAAATAAACCGCCTCCGTTTTGTGTCACAAACAAACGCTCAATTTAACTTCTTCTGGTTGCTTTTTTTTTCTTTGTTTGTTTGATCTTTCACCGAAATTGGACGATAATCGAATCCAACAATTACTTTAGAAAATAGTAATGCAGCAGGAAGCAGAAATCGATTAATTTAACGACTCTCTCTATATGAAGTTAAATGAAGCAATAAAATGTACCGTTTGTTAAGCGATTTGCAGAAGAAATGTTCGCACATAAATTTCTGGCAGGGTTTATATGTAAAGCAGCTGCACACGTGGGACGGATTCGTTTCCGAGTCTTAACTTCGGCGTATTGTAATAATTGTAATTAATGAATGAATGAATGATGGTGCATTCCTGTGGTGAAAACGCCAGTTGATTATTAACTTTCCAGCACAAAAGCCTTTATGAATCTGCGATCATAGTTTCTAGAACAAAGTCAAATGAAAATTCCGTAAATTTCTGCAAAATTGCAATTATCTGTCTGTTAATGTAATCATTTAATGAATTTTACAAAAATATCATTTGTACTCGAAACACGCATTTTTTTGTTGTTGTTTTGTTCTGATTGAATTGCAATTATGCGAAATAATTGATGCAACGTATTTCATATATTTCATTTTATTCCCATCGCGTTTTCCAATCAATTATTACGCAATCCAAATTGAATATCCGAAATTGCCGTTTAAATTATAACATTTATTTATATCAATCGAATTATTAATTTTGATTTATTTTATTTTTTTAAATCGAATTGCAACGAATTTTGTTCACGTATTTGCAATTATTGTAAACTTTTATCAATGAAATAATTGTGTCGTTTTCCCCCGGTAATCTAATCGTTGACGAATGAATTTAGCGAGGGGAAGTATCTTGAATACATGAATTGTTGTCGAGAACTGGTTTTGTGGCTTCGCGAGAATGATGAATCATTTTCTGTCTGTTTCTGCAGATACGATTTATCAATTGTTAAAATATGTATTCAAGTTCATTTCACAGTTTGGAAACTCAGTAATGAAGTAAACAATGATATTTAGATTAGTTCATTAATTGTTTAAACATTGGGTCAAAAATGACATTTTTATGGCTATTAACGTGAAAATGCTTATATTTGCAAGATTTTACTTTTATTTCATACATAGATTAAACATATATATTATGGATAAATCAGAAGCCCAAATGAAAGGGTTTACATGAATATTCATGACTTCAACGACAAATTAGGGCGGATATATCCGCCACTCAACATTTGAAATATTCATAAATCTATAATGCGTTTAGACACCGATTTTATACAAATCAACGGTTTTTGTTGTAAGGTTTTCGATGAATACACTTTCTTTTAATATTATTGTTGTTGTTGGACTTAACATTTGCTGACAATGCAAATTCGTAACGTTTGAACCTGAGCAAAAAGAAATACGGGTTTCTTTTTTTCGACGTACGCGAAATAAATGTAATTCTGACCTAATTAAACAAGTGGCAAAACAATTAACCCGAAAAACGGACGAAGATTAAGTGCACTTGTCCGAATGAGTTAATTTAATTAAAAGCAAAAAAAAACTTTATTTCGATGTTTGCTACAAGTAATTATTTGACAAACATTGTTTTCTTTAATTGCGAACAATGCTTAATTAATCCGATGAGTTTATCAATTATTTATTTGTCTTTGGAACTGGAAGCGGTTATTTCTCCGGCTTTACGATTAGGTTTAATGAAGTAATTAAGGAACATGCATACTTGCATATTTCCGACGCTCGACGCTATCTCATTAACTATGAATTTCAATTCTAAATATAGTAATGATACGCTTTGAAAATTCTAGCAATAATTTGCTTCGATTATAATTTTTTGTTTGCTTCTTTGTTAGCAATTAAACATAAATAGAAATTACTTTAATTTACTTATAATTTTCTATCTGCGAAAACGTTATTTTCTAATTCAATAAATTGATTTGCTTTAAAGATTTTAATCATTATTTGCAGATATTTATTATATGAAATAGAGCAAAGTTACTTTTTTTTCTGAATAAATATGCGGTAAAATGTGTATGGAAATAATACAATTTATCATTTAATAATGTGAATTGATTGGACACCTTTACGATAAATTTCTATGTAAAAATATTAACGTTCATTGCTAATAACGCGATGGTGATCTCATTGCATCCAATTAGATAACAGAATTAGAAAAAGTAAAGAAAAACCCACCACGCAACGCATTGGCTAATGCGGTTTATCCTTTCTACTCGGCATAGTATATTAAAATAATAATGACGTTAATTAAATGGTATTTTACTGGCGCCTTCTACGATTTACCATTTACTATCAATTATGTCCCAAAAGTTCTCCATTTCTGCATAAGTTTTCGATCCTTTTTTGCGCATTTTCAATTTGCAAATTCGTACGCGTGAAATTCCAACAACGTTAAATTTCTTTATTGCATTTTCCGCGTATATTATTGTATTACTTGTTTTTGCCCGGAGTTTTTCCTAAGCAGATTAAAACTCGACGAGGGACGACCCCCATTACAATTTTCGCACATCTCTTTTCCTTTCCGCATTTTCACGTCCATCCAGCACAGTTTCATTAAACACGTTTATATTTTGTATGTGAATCTAATTTTACTTTCATTTTATAATTTGATTTTGGGTTCTATAGTTTTGAAAACTTTAATATTTATAAAATTTCACGTATTTGTATGTTACGTAATTGAATTTAAAGTTTTTTTTATGATTGTATAAAATTTGTACGTGTTTTAAAGAGAACTATTATCAAAATGCTTTCATGATGAGTGTTTTGTTGTAAAATCGAGTTGTTATTGAGTGGGCTGCTTTTCGCATTCAATCAAATCATTTTAATTATTGTATTGAGAATAATTTTCATCAGCAAATTAACAGAATTTTGCGACTTGTTGAAGTGGATCCAGTTCCGTTTTGTTTGGTCCATTGTTCCCTCGACATTCGTTTTCTTGCGAAGAGAACTCCCGCTTCGCGTTTAATGCGCACTTAATTAGTTTTCTATAACGAGCTCCGCCATCAATTCGTTTATCCAAGAATAGAACGACGGGGTGGAGGATCGTGGGTCTTTCCTGCATTCGGTGACGCATAAATCAGACGTGTTAATTGCAACAACAAAAAGATACGATCGCAGTTTTAAAATAAGAAATAATAATTTTGATGGAAACTGCAGTGAAAGCTATTACTAATAATTAAAAGTGTCCAATTTTGAATAAATGTGAAAAAGTTATGAGTTATCATGTATGTTATTGGGTCAAGGAAGAAACAGCGTACAAATAAGAGCAAAGGACACACACAGTAATTAAGAGGATAAGTGTCCTTCCTGTCCTGCCCTGTTCTCGAGGACCGCTGACGAAGTGCACGCCAAGAATAATCAGCGCAGTTTGTGTTATATAACAATTGCACTTGCAGATGGCCTAGTTCTTCTCATCTTGCGACTGCATCCAAAGGAGAAGAGCTAATAGCAGCGAACCGCTGAAACTTCACTATAACCACCTTTGAAACGGCATTATTTCGAGTACTCAGCTTTTAATGAATTGATGGAAATGTATTCAAAGAGTGCTGCTTCAACTTTCAAATTGTTAAAAAGTATATGATTTGATGTGACTGTTTTAATAAGATTCTTGTTGGATGAAACGTTTCGTTTCGGTCATTTGAAATGTAAGATGTTTTACCATTATCTTCTCTTGGCCGTGAGGATGTAAAGAGAGTACTTAGCGTACATTTCTCGGTCTGCACAGATGTGCCTTCATGGGCTTGTGTGTTATTCGTAACAAACGGTTTATTATATCAAATTGCATTTGCGGTGGCTATTAAATACGACAGACGATTTTTCAAGCGCGAAATAGCAACAGTTCACACTTTGTGTGTGTGTGTGTGTCGGTTTATTTATTATCCGTACTTATATATATTTGGAGCATCTTGCATACGTCCATTCATAAAGTTTTATTGCACCTATGAGTGTATGCAAGCATACGTCGAGGTGTCTGCATGTGGGTTTTTGCCACTCTGATAAACTGCACACTCGCAGTCCACCGGCTCCAATTCATAAATTATTCACGACGAAGGACGAATTCCTTAACTACAATAAACAAATATTTAGCACCTTCGGGATTTAGCTACCACATTTCTAATATGCTTATTCTCTCACAATCTAAATACTCTACTTTAGACATTCTATTTCATTGTTTTACATTTCACTTGGATTGAAATACTTATGCTTTTATAATTAAATTATTTTTTTTCAGCGATGAATGTCGTTCGTTGGGTTTCACCGTTCTTGTGGACATGCGTGGCTCCACGTGGTCCACCGTGAAGCCCATACTGAAAGTTCTGCACGAACATTTTCCACCTGGTGCCGTTCACCAAGCGCTGATCGTGAAGCCGGACAACTTCTGGCAGAAACAGAGGACGTCGCTTGGTTCACATAAGTACAAATTTGAGGTGAGCAAAAAGCAATCATTCTGCCTCTTCCTCCTTTTTCCTCATTTTCAGTGCGCTTAACGAAAATGCAAAACGAAATTTGTCCTGAATATTCATTTGTTTGTCGATACCTTCGCATTAAAGAGAAAAAAAATAATGAAAATAATTAGGAAGACGGAAATCGTTCATGAATATTCATTATCAAGGGATGAAATCTTCGGGATTGCGTTTGTTTTTTTTATTATATTTCCATAAACTTTTTGATTTATGCGAGCTTTGTTTGGCGGTCATATTAGCATTGGATTAATGCTCGTTTAATTCTAGTCTTAGTTTCTGTTATCTTTCCGGTTTTGTGAATGGTTTTAAAAATGTTTGCAGACAAATATGATAAGCCTAGAAGCCTTGCCGAAGATAATAGATACCTCACAGTTGACCTCGGATTTAGAGGGGACTTTAAGTTACGACCACAGCTGTTGGCTGGAGACGAGGAAGGCCGTGGAGGAGTTCTCGTGGCAGGCGTCCGATCTACTGGATCGTCTGGACGATCTGCAGGAGGATTTGGCCAGGAACGACTTTGCCGAGGACGTGAGCGGTGCCAAGCACAAGATCGACCTGCACAACGAGATGCGGAACAAGATCAAGAAGGTGCCTCTCGAAGACGTCGACATGTTAGGTGAGAGTCGTGTTATTGTTTGCACGTACGCGGGCGCATCGTTCCCCTGTTTCTCCGGAATTGAAGGTTTTCAGGGCGCGCGCTAATATTAGGTAACTGGGACTCAAACGTGACTGAAATTCCTGCACTTCCATATCTCTTCGCCGTGTATTTCCTGCAGCATCCGAATGGGACGCTCATCTCCTCGCCCAACTCGCTGCAAAGAGCAAAATTCGCCGGAATTTTAATTTAAATTTTATCATGCTCACGGTTTATAATAGAAGGAATGGAAGACGTGATTCTTGCCTGAAAACATTCCGTGATTAAAAATGCTTTGTACCAACATTCTATTAAGAAAAAATACATTGCATGAACTTATTTTAAATATTAAATAAAATAGAATAAATTTGAGTGAAACACGACAAAATATAAAATTGTTTTATGATATAATTGCACATCGAATCACGTAAAATTGTATAATTTTTGATTGGATAGGTTTTGTAAACGTATAAAAACCTGTTGCATTCTGTATTTTGTTTGTGTCGTGTATAAACGTTTAACGCAATCCATCCGTTATTTGCAAATTTTCGATGATTGTTTATTCGCGAATTAAACGCATACTAATTACGAAGAGATTCCAATAACCTATTCGTTTGAGCGTTGATTCGCGCAATTGCAAATTCTGCATATGTATGCGGACAAGGTCGTCGGATGGTAATTATTAATCCGCGCATACTTTCCAACTCGAAATTTCGCAGAAGCGAAAGTATGCGTTTAATTGATGTTCGATCAAAAGGGCACGTCCTCAATTGATTCCTCCCCATTGTCGCAGCTGCAATTTATTGTATCAATTAATGAATTAGCACGGTCGGACGGAGTTTCGCGAAAATATCTTCAATTGATGTTGTTCCGAGTACTGTATTTGCTGCTGGTGTTGCAGGATGATAGACGAGACGTTCTTCACATCCACTTAACGCTGTGTCTCGCTCTGTTGTTGTTCTGGGAATGCGGTGATAAATATTAAGTTGCAAGTTCACACTTTCCCTTGCCGTTATTTAAACTGTTTTCGGGGAGGTTTATTTGAACGCGAATTACAACCATATAGATAAAACCACAGTAATATATCTACACTTGTTAGAATCCCCAAAGATTCAGCTTTCATAAGCATCTTTTGGATTTTGTCTATCTATTATAGTTATCGAGAAAATCAAAGAAATGTGAAGACACTGCTTTTCGAACGTAAAATTTTCATTTTCTCAACTTTGAACGCGAATTGCAGCCAAACGGATAAAACCACAGTAATATATTTATACTTGCTAGATTCTCCAAAGATTCAGCTTTCATAACCATCTTTTGGATTCAGTCTATCTATTACAGTTATCGAGAAAATCAAAGAAATGTGAAGACACTGCTTTTCGAGAGTTAAATTTTCATTTTCTCAACTTTCAACGCGAATTGCAGCCAAACGGATAAAACCACAGTAATATATTTATACTTGCTAGATTCTCCAAAGATTCAGCTTTTATAAGCATCTTTTGGATTCTGTGTATCTATTACAGTTATCGAGAAAATCAAAGAAATGTGAAGACACTGCTTTTCGAGAGTTAAATTTTCATAATCTCAACTTTCAACGCGAATTGCAGCCAAACAGCTAAAACCACAGTAATATATT